GGAATGCAATCTTGTGCAACCACTTTGGAAATCAGTGTTTCGGTTTCTCAGGAAATTCAGGATCAACCTACCCCTGGACCCAGCAATACCACCCCTGGGAATATACCCAAGAGATGCCCTATCATATGACAAGAGCATTTGTTCAACCATGTTCATTGCAGTATTATTTGTAATAGCCAGAACCTGGAAACAACCTAGATGCCCCTCAATGGAAGAATGGATGAAGAAAGTGTGGAATATCTACACATTAGGGTACTACACTGCGGTAAAAAACAATGACTTCTCGAATTCTGCATGCAAATGGATGGAAATAGAAAACACTATTCTGAGTGAGGTAACCCAGACCCAAAAAGATGAATATGGGATGTACTCACTCATAATTGGTTTCTACCCATAAATAAGGGTCACGGAGTCTACAATTGGTGATCCTAAAGAAGCTAAGTAAGAAGGTGAACCAAAGGGAAAACATATAGTTGTCCTCTTGGCTATGGGAAGTAGACAAACTTGCCGGGGAGAAAATTGGGATCTTGGGGGTGGGGTAGGATGGGGGTAAGGGGAGATGGGGAGAGAAAAGGGAGAAGGGAAGGATGGGGGGAACTTGGGGAAAAAGGAGGATTGGGATAAAGGAAGGTTGGATAGGGGAGCACGGAACCACAATTCTTAGTTAAGGGAGCCACCTTAGAGTTGGCAAGAGACTTGAACCTAGAGTGGCTCCCAGGTGCCCAAGCCGAGGCCCCAGTTAATTCCTTGGGCAGCTGAGGATAGGGAACCTGAAATGACCCTATCCTATAGCAATACTGACGAATATCTTGCATATCACCATAGAACCTTCATCTGGTGATAGATGGAGATAGAGACAGAGATCCACACTGGAGCACTGGACTGAGCTCCCAAGGTCCTAATGAGGAGCAGAAGGAGGGAGAACATGAACAAAGAAGTCAGGAGCACGAGGGGTGCACCCACCCACTGAGACAGTGGAGCTGATCTATTGGGAGCTCACCAAGGCCAGCTGGACTGTGACTGAAAAAGCATGGGATAAAACTGGACTCTCTGAACATGGCGAACAATGAGAGCTGATGAGACGCCAAGGACAATGGCAAGGGGTTTTGATCCTAGGTAATGTACTGGCTTTGCGGGAGCCTAGCCAGTTTGGATGTTCACCTTCCTAGATATGGATGGAGTGGGGAGGACCTAGGACTTACCACAGGGCAGAGAACCCTGACTGCTCTTTGGACTGGAGAGGGAGGGAGAAAGGAGTGCGGGGAGGGGGAGACGGGTGGGAGGAGGGGGAGGGAAGTGGAAGGCTGAGAGGAGGTGGAAACTTGTTTTTTTTCTCATTTTCTCAATAAAAAAAAGATTTTTTTAAAAAAAAGAAAATTAAAAAAAAATTAACAGAGAAATGTGGGCACTAACAGATGTTATGACTCAAATGGACTTAACAGACATCTATAGAACATTCCATCCAAACACAAAAGATTATTCCTTCTTCTCCGAACCTCATGGAACCTTCTCAAAAATTGACCACATAATAGGTAACAAAACAAACCTCAACAGATACAAAAAAAATTGGAATAAGCCCACGTATCACTATGGCTTAAAATTAGAATTCAACAGCAGCACTAATTCCAGAAAGCCCACAAACACATGGAAATTAAACAATGCACACCTGAATCATCAATGAGTCAAGGAAGAAATAAAGGGGGAAATTAAAGACTTCCTAAAATTCAATGAAATGACCACACAACATACCCAAATTGATGGGACATAATGAAAGCAGTTTTAAGAGGAAAGTTCATAGCACTAAATGCATACATAAAGAAACCAGAAAAATGTCACACTAGTGAATTAAAAGAACATTTGAAAATGTTAGAACAAAAAGAAACAAACTCACTCAGGAAAACTAAGTGGCAGGAAATAATTAAATTGAGAATAGAAATCAACAAAATAGAAACAAAGAAAATAATGAGACAAAGAGTTCGTTCTTCAAAAAAACCAACAAAATAGACAAGCCTTTATCCAAACCAACCAAAAGGCAGAGAGAAAATATCAAAATTAACAAATCAGAAATGAAAAGAGGGCACATAATAACAGACACAGAAGAAATCATTAGGTCATATTTTAAAAACCTGTACTTTACAAAATTGGAAAACTTAAAGGAAATGGACAACTCTCTGGATAAATATCACTTACCAAAATTAAATCAAGACCAGATAAGCAAATTAAATAGACCTATAACTGCTAAAGAAATAGAAACAGTCATCAAAAATCCCCCATTCAAAAAAGAAAAAAGTTCAGGACTAGATGGTTTCAGCTCAAAATTCTACAAGATTTTCAAAGTAGAAATAATACCAATACTCCTCAATTTGTTCCACACAATAGAAACAGAAGGAATGTTGCCAAACTCTTTTTATGAGACTATAATTACCCAGATACCCAAACCACATAAAGACATTACTAAGAAAGAGAATTACAGACCAATCTCATTCATGAACATTGATGCAAAAATACTCAATTAAATACTGGCAAATCATATCCAAAAACAAATCATTTGCAAGAAAATGGATGGAACTAGAAAAAGTAATTCTGAGTGAGGTAACCCATACTGCAAAAGATGAGCATGGTATGTACCCACTCATAGGTGAATACTAGCTGTAAAGCCAAGGATAAGGCTTTGCTCCACAAACCCAGAGAAGCTAAGTAACAAGGAGAACCTTAAGTGAACATACATACATCCCCCTGGAAAGGGGAAAATGGCAAGATCTTTTGAGAAAATTGGTAGTATGGGATGGCGAGATTAGGCAAAGCAGAAGAGGAGGGTAGAAGAGGAGGGAGGAGGAGAATTAGAGGGAATGGGTTGGTCGACATGGGTGAAGGACAGAGATGGAGAACAAAGAAAGAAATATCTTGATTGAGGGAGCCATTATGAGCCTAGCTAAAACCCTAACACTAGAGAAATTCCCAGCAACCCACAAGGATGATCCCAGCTAAGACCCTCAGCAATAGTTTAGATGGTGCCTGAACTGGCTTTGCCCTGCAGTCAGATTGATGAATATCTTAAATGTTGTCCTAGAACCTACATCCAGCAACTGATGGAAGCAGATGCAGAGAATTACAGCAGGGCACTGGGCTGAACTCCAAAGTCCAGTCAAAAATAAGGAGGAGTGAGAATATAAGCAAAGAGGTCAAGACCATCATGGGGATAGCCACTGAATCAGTTTACATGAGCTAAAAGAATTCTTCCAATACCGACCTGGCAGCAAGGGAGCCAGCATAGGACCAAACTAGGCCTTCTGAATGTGCATGACAGTTATATGGCTAGGGCAAACTGTGGGGCCACTGGCAATGAGACCAGGATTTATCCCTACTGCTTGTTCTGGCTTTTTGGAACCTATTCTTTCTGGAAGGATACATTACTCAGCCTAGATACAGTGTGGGGGGCCTTGGTCCTGCCTCAAATCAATGAGCTAGATTTTGTTGACTGCCCACAAGAAGCCTATCCTCTCTGAGGACTGGATGGATGATGGGATAAGGGTGGGAAGGTGGGAAGGTGGAGGGACCATGAAGAGTAGAAGGAGTGGGAAATGGATTTGACATGTAAAATGAGAAAAGATAGATTTTTTTTAAATAAATTAAAATAAAAACGGATTTTTTGTGCTATATTATAATTTGCAGTAGTGCATAATGAAAGGATGAAATTATATCTAAAGCAAGAGTATTTCTGTAGTTTTGGTATCAGGGTAACTTCAGCTTCATAAAAATAGTTTGGCAATCTTTCTTCTGTTTCTATTATGTGGAACACTTTGAGGAGTATAGGTATAAGGTTTTCTTTGAAGTTCTGGTAGAATTCTGCACTGAAACCATCTGGCCCTGAACTTTCTTGGAACCCATTCTCATTGGATGGATACTTCGCTCAACCTAGATATAGTAGGCAGAGTCTTGGACCTTCCACAAAGCAATGTGCCTTATCCTCTCTGAGGAGTGGATTGGACGTGGTGTGGGGGAAAGGTGGAAGGAATGGGAGGAGTAGAGGGAGTAGGAACTGGAACTGGTATGTAAAATAAAAAAGGCAGTTTGCTTTATTTTGAAAAAAATAAATAAATAAAATAAGAGTATTTCTGATAAGTGGTATTACAGGAAAGAAGAAATGTAGAGATGAAGAATTATTCTATTTATTGATTTTTTTACAAGTGTACTTGGGAGGAGCTGTACCAGAGTGAACTTAATAGCAGAACACCGATTACTGCTTGGAAACCTTAATATTGTGAAAGGATGAGGTGAGAAATTATCTTGCGTACTTGTCTGGAATGTCCTTACTCATTTCTACGTCTTCACAATCATTGCTACAAGGAGGAGAAAGCAGACCATAGAGTCGCATAGATAAAAGGTCAGTGAATGACAGACACTAAAAACTACATCACCACTTCACCTTCATGTGAAAGCATTTTACGAAATATTTCAAGTGTTTGCAATATGGAGTCCAGCTATTGCTTTGTCTCTTATCTGTTCACACTTCCATGTGTCTTTTTAAACAACAATCCAAATCAAACAAGCTTGACCTACAATTCTTTCTTGTGCTATGGTGCTCTCCAAAGTCATTGTGGATGATTATGAAATCACAGAGGTAGGGGACTAAGGAACAAAGCAAACATGTTTTTCACCAGCATGAAGGATGCAGGTGCAGAGTCCCAGGGCAATGAGATCCCCAGAGCACATGTATGAGAGGGAAAAGCAAGAAAAGCCAGTGTATTTATGGTCACTCTGATTATTTAGAAGAGAATGTCAACACTCTCACTTACCCTCGGTTTTCTGGACTTTCTTCTCTCTATGTCCTTGTCTAGCATGAGAACTATAGACTATGCAACATCAGGAACCAGAAGCTGTAGCTAACAGAGTCTTCTCTGACACTGTCAAGGTCTGAACCTGTTCCATGAACTAAGCCAATAATCTTTATGGCTCAGCCTAGTTGCAGGGCATTGTCTCTGTGTGGTGCAGACCCTGACATGTCTTTTCCTTTGCTTTGCCTCTTCCTACTCCTGCAATCTATGTTTGCATTAGTGAAAATAACTAATCAGAAGTGTTTGGAGAATGGGAAGCCCACCACGTACATGAAGGCTGACATAATCCTTGGTGTGTTTATCCCTTTTTACTTTACAATAGAAGGACCCAAGGAAATCCAGATATTTTTTGAGAAAAAAGAGAATCCACTATTCAAAAGCTTAATGTAAGTACTTGTGCCCCTGTGCTAAGGATTATTTTCAAACTTAATGTAAGTACTTGTGCCCTGTGCTAAGGATCATTCACAAACTTAATGTAAGCACTTGTGCCTCTGTGCTAAGGATGTTCTAGCTGCATGACAGTGCATGCTCATCTGCGCACATGTAATTTCTTTAAGAATAATGAACTGAATACACAGAAATGTGAAACTCAGTTGCAAACTTTCCTCATTCATTATGCTTCTAGAGATCTTTACTCTCCTCTTTACTTCTCTAGTCAAGTAGAGATCAAAGAGGGAAATCATCAATTTTTGTGATGTCCATACTGTGAGTTCATGGTAAAGCTTATATTATTTTCACAGATTGACTTTAATGTGTCAGGAGAGGTTGCACCCTGCTCACATATCTTTGGGACTCTAAATGTGTTGTGTTTGAATGTTTCTTTCTTTCTATAGACCAGGAGAGTTTCTGGCAAAACCCCATGTCTTTAGTGCACACCTTAGCATCTCCGACCCCACATGCTCTTGCATTAGTTTGTTTAAATATCTCAAGATTTCGACATTGTGATCATGTTTATTACTTATTTATTTCTCATTGATATTTTAATGCAGTGTCTGAAAATCACATCCTTCATGCTTGATACTCTGTTTTCTGCCTAGTCAGTACTGAGTTTTTATTGGCAGTTTCTTGATTTGATTTCCAACATCTGTCTCTTCTTCCCCTACCTCAGAATCTCAATGTCCTTTTAGGATGTGACTTTCTCCATACTGAGTCTTTGATGTATATTTGTTTTGTACTCACCCCTCAGCCATTGTCCTCCTGTACAGTGTTGTATCAATGCCCAATTGAATTCACTTGCTTGTTTCTATCTTCTTTTAGGTCATCCATCTTTTTACTTTTTGAACTAGCAATCTGACATTTGATCTTTCTGAATATTTTTGAGTTCATTTGTTGGTTAGTTATCATATTGTGGAGTAGTTATTCAGCCTTGCTTTTTAGTAATTCCTGTTGTTTGTTTCAATTATTGCTATAATCAGTACCTTTGTTCATTTGAGCATCAATTACACATTTGGATAATCCTATACTAAGAAGTTTCTTCTTAAATGTTCAACGTATTCATTGCTCTGTAAGAAGGAAACAATCTTCCAGGCCTATATTCCTAGTACTTGTGGTGTTATGGAATATGTGAAGAAAAAATTCCTAGATTCTAGATTTATTTGGCACTTGTAGTACTCTTAGGAATGCTTTCACGGGATGGAAGGACTACAGGTCAGTAGCCCACTACTGCAGGAGATGGAAGGAGTTCCAAGATCAGGAGGAGAGAGAGCCCATCCTCAAGGAGAGGAAGTGGGCAGGAAAGCTTTAACTGTTAACTGACAACAGTACTTATCTGGAATCTGCCTGATTTGGCATAGGTGAATTCCAGTCACAACTCACTGAATCTTACATTAATTTGTTTCTTAGTTTAGAGATAAAGACTTAGATATGTTGACATTTCCACTCTCTGTAATCTGTACTGAAACCATATTGTAGAAGAAGCAATAAGCCAGTGTCTATAAATAGTGATGTAGACTCATGATTTAGAGCCATATCAAATCTTAATAATTCAACGGGGGATACAAATATGAACACTCTTTACATGCTTCCTTTGTCCATATTTTATGTATGTATATAAGATAAGTATTCAGCACAATGAGAAGGAATTTTATGTCTTATTTAGAAAACAATGAAAGAAAATTAAAATTTTGCTCGTTAGCTATGTAAATAGTAGGTAGTACTTTACCAAGGCTAGATTAATAGCTAATCAAAACTCCACTGATTAATATGATAAAACTCTGTAAGTCAGAAATCTTTAAGTCTCATTTTCCTGCAAAATTCAAGATGTCATTATTTTTTTCTGATTTGTAGTACTCCACTGTGTAAATGTACTACATTTTCATTATGCATTCTTCAGTCAAGGGGCATTTAGGTTGTTTCCAGGTTCTGGCTATGACAAGCAATGCTACTATGAACATAGCTGAGCACATGTCCTTGTGGCGCAGTTGAGCATCCTTTGGATATATACCCAAAAGTGGTACTACTGGGTCTTGAGGAAGGTTGTTTACTAATTTTATGAGAAATTGCCACACTGACATCCAAAGGGACTGTACCAGCTTGCATTCCCATGAGCTGGATTGTTCCCTTTTCCCCCCAACCTCTCCAGCATAAGTTGTCTTCAGTGTTTTTGATCTTGGCCATTTTTACAGGTGTAAGATGGAATCTCAGAGTTGTTTCGATTTGTATTTCTCTGATGACTAAGGATGGTGACCATTTCCTTAAGTGTCTTTCAGCCACTTTAGATTCCTCTAAAGTGTTGAGACTTCTCTGCTTAGATCTGTAGTCCATATTTTTTATTGGATTATGTGTTCTTTAGATGATCTATTTCTTGAGCTCTTTGTATATTTTGGAGATCAGACCTCTATCTGATATGGGATTAGTGAAGATCTTTTCCCATTCTGTAGGCTGTCATTTTGTCTTGATGAATTTATCCTTTGTTTTACAGAAGCTTTTCAGTTTCAAGAGGTCCCATATATTAATTGTTTCTCTCAGTGTCTGTGCTGCTAAGATTATATTTAGGAAGGGTCTCCTGTTCCAATGCATTCAAGTGTACTTAACACTTTCTCTTCTATGGGGTTCAGTGTAGCTGGCTTTATGTTGAGGTCTTTGATCCATTTGGACTTGAGTTTTGTGCATAGTGATAGATATTGGTCTATTTCCATTCTTCTACATTTTGATATACAGTTATGCCAGTACCATTTGTTAAAAATGCTTTCTTTTTTCCATTTTATATTTTTGCTTCTTTGTCAAAAATCATGTGTTCAAAAGTGTATGGATTAATATCCAGGTCTTCTATTTAATTCCATTGTTCCTCCTGTCTGTTCTTATGCCAATACCAGGCTGTTTTCAGTACTGTAGTTTTGTAGTAGAATTTTATTTCAGCTCCGAATTCTACAAGACTTTCAAAGAAGAACTAATACCAATACCATTCAAATTATTCCACACAATAGAAACAGAAAAAACAATGTCAGACTCTTTTTTATGAAACTACAATTACCCTGATAAACAACTACAGAAAGACATTTCTAAGAAGGAGAATTAAAGACAATCTCACTCACGAACATTGATGCAAAAATACTAAATAAATACTGGCAAATCGAATCCAAGAACACATCAGAACCATCATCCACCATGATCAAGTTGGATTCATCCCAGAGATGCAGGGATGGTTCAACATATGAAAATCTGTCAATGTAATCCACAATATAAACAAACTGAAAAAGAAAAAACAATATTATCATCTCATTAGAGATCGAATAAGCATTCAACAAAATCCAACATCCCTTCCAGGTCTTGGAGAGATGAGGGATGCAGGGAACATATCTAAATATAAAAAAAAACAATATACAGCTAGCCAACAGCCAACATCAAACTAAATGGAGAGAAACACAAAGAGATTACACTAAAATCAGGGACAAGACAGGGTTGTCCACTCTCTCCATGTCTATTCAATATAGTTATTGAGGTCCTAGCTAGAGCAATAAGACACCAAAAGGAGGTCAAGGAGATACAAATCAAACAAGAAGAAGTGAAACTCTCACTGTTTGCTGATGATATGATCGTTTACATAAGCAATTTCAAAAATTTTACCAAGGAACTTCTACAACTCATAAACACTTTCAGTAATATAGCAGGAAACAAGATTAACTCAAAAAATTAGTAGCCTTCCTGTACATAGATGATAAAAGGGCTGGGGAAAAAATCAGAGAAACAATACCCTTCACAATAGCCACAAATAACATAAAATATCTCAGAGTAACTCTAACCAAACAAATGGAATAGTTGTGTGACACGAACTTTAAATCATTGAATAAGACACCAGAAAGTGGAAAGATCTTCGATGCTCTTGGGTAGGCATAATTAAATAGTAAAAATGGCAATCTTACCAAAAGCAATCTACAGATTCAACATAACGCCCAGAAAAATCTTCATAAATCCCCCCAAAAAAAAACAGTACTCAACTTCATATGGAAAAGCAAAAAACCCATGATAACCAAAACAGTCCTGTACAATAAAAGAACATCTGGAGGTATCAGAATTCCTGACTTCAAGTTCTACTACAAAGTCTTTCTGTTACAATTTTTAACCTGACTTTTTCTTTCAGATTTTACAGATTTTTAAACTAACTCAATGAATTTACAAATCCATAGCTACAGAACCTTTAGAGAATAGTCTTACAAGTCTTAAGGTAAATACTTTATCAAACGTTTTAAGGATATAAGAGAGGAGAGTAGATTAGCAGACATAATCACTATTGCAAAAAAATTTAGATATTTTTTAACATACAGTGTCTTTACTTTTTTGCTCTCCTCCTTGTTATAGACTCAGGTAGCCAATTTGACACAGGACAGATTTGAATGAAACTTTTAAGCAGCATGTTCAGGTCTGGAGGGAGGGGGCTGAAACCCAGAGCCAGAGCCAACTTCTTTATCTAATACATCAAAATAAAACAGTTTTTAGTATTACCCATAGTGCAAAGATATTTGAATCTCTGTAAAACTGTTTCAGTGGTCAGAGAAAGAGACAAGAACAAGCAGAGAGTAAAGAAGATTCCATGAGGCGACAAAAAGCAGGGAACAAAGAAAACACAGATGTGATTTTGAGAATAAATAGCAGAAAGAGCTTGGAAATAAAGGACTTTGGGATAATATGCTTGTGAAGTGGAGGAAATAGTTATGATTTGGGGGCATTTAGAAATCCAGAGTGCCATCTTTGTCTACTGAGCTATCTTGATTACAATCCATTTGCAAGAAGACAACTAGTATTAAGGAAAACTTGAAGTCTTAGAAGAAAAAAAGATCAGAGAAGGCACATGAAAGTATTCAGAGCAAGCTCAAGGAGTAAACAAAGAACAGGTTTGGAGGGAAAGCAACCATAGGAGAGAGAAGGGTAAGTTTCCTGGAGTTGTCAA